AATAAAAGTTAAAATGATGAACTTTACTTACTATCAAAGACTGGTCTCTAGTCCTTATTTTCTAACATAATAGTGTAAGTTGATATATTTATATCTCACTCCAAAGGAATCCCAAATGTAAACCACCCAATATGCACATTATACCCTTCATCTACCACTGCCAGGAGTGCAGGGGACTGGACCAGATGACCTCTCGAGTTCCCTTCCAGTCCTACAATTCTAGGAGACTCTTGAGGTACATATACACTGATTAAAAAAAAATCCATGGCACTGAGTCTCAGAGCCCAAGTTAGCTGTGGGACTCAGGCTGCAAGGCTATTAAATTGCAGTGTAGACATCCAGGCTTGGCCTGGCACCTGGGCTCTGAGACCCCTTTGGGGAGGAGACTCTCAGAGCCCAGGCTTCAGTCTGAACATCTACACTGCAATTTTTAACCCTGCAGCCTAAGCCAAAGTCAGCTGACCTGGGCTCTGTGGCTTGGTGCCGTGGGGTTTTTATCACAATGTAGATGCACTCTTCATCTCAGGGGTTTGGTAAACACAAGCCTCTGTCACATGTAGTCCTTCCTCCAGGGAGAGCCTGTGTGGATACTTTTGGGGATGATGCGCTGTGTGTTTTTATTCAAGATGTGCACTTTACACTTGGAATGCAAAGTGGAGGTGTCTGTGGTGGTCCTCCAGAAGCTCAGTCCACACTTTTGGACCAGGACATTATGGAGTACTGGTTCAATACTGACACAGATGGAAAAGCACCCAAATGAAACACCACCACCACGTATATCAGGCAATGGCACCTGGGAGTTTCCCTACCCAGGCAGCTACCCAGAGCTGACCAGTATCCTGACTGTAAGCTAGATCTAGAATTTTTATTTCTGGTGAATCTAGCAGCTAATATTGAGGCTTATATTTTCGCTTTTTTAAATTTAAATTTCACAGTTGCAGGAAATTATGAGGGGGGGTCAGACAATCTTTAGTAACAGTAGATATTGCGATTCAAACAGTTAACGCCTTTTAATGATTAAAACACTACTTGTCAACATCACATGTCAAAAATATACAAAGTAAATATTGAGTCTGATTTAAGGATAAGTTCTCAAGTAGCATTTTTCTTAATTTTCCTGTCAATGTCTATTAGTATAGATGGAAATGTTTTTTCTCAGTTTGTGTGTGTACAGCAAAATCACCATTTAGCAACATTTACTGAGAAAAAGCTAATCCTTCCAAGCCTAGCTATAGGCATGTATGAAACCCCAAAGGGACCCATCCAAATAGCGTGTGATTACAGTTTGCATGTTTTTGGACTCTAAATTTCTCCAGTGTGCTGAACTGGATTCCTGCTGAGTTCTAGTTTTCCAGCAGGTGGCTGGGCACAGCCTGGAGCCGGCTTCCTTCTAAGGCCTGGCACCAGTGAAGGAGAAAGCTTGCTCATTGTGCCCTGCAGTTTCTGGAGCAAGACCTCGGCTGGCAGTGCCCTGCTGAATTAGGCTGTGTGTGGAGTTAAAAATGGTAATCTTGCCAATGTTGAGCTCTGAGACAGACAGGAGCCCAGCATCTGCTGAGCTCTGCATTCTGAGCTCCTCTGGCGCAATCCCTTTGGAAGGGAAAGCAGAACGTTGGTGATCTTTGCACACATTCTGTCTGTGTCATCTTTACTCAGTTGATTGCATTGGTTTTGCCTCCTTGCACCCTGAGGTCAAACTAGCTGATGAAGTCAAACTGTCCCCTGTCTGTTTCATGCACCATCACTAACAGGCACCAAGAACAGAGTCATTCTTTGGGTGTCTTGCTTGCTCTCTGAAGAATGTTGTAGGAGGCAGAGTGTAAAATGCTGCACTCGTCAAAGCAAGTATTTTAATCGCTCTTCCAGAGACCAAAGGCCAAGAACGTTTGTTTTCTTCTACAGCACTTTTTAAAAGGAGTTTATATATTTGAGAAACTGTATGGGAATTGGCCATATACATATTATCAGAACTACTGCCGCTGCAGCACCTTAAATTGGAGAGGGGTCAGAGAAGAACCACAAGAATGACCTAAGGATTCAAATACACGCCTTATATTGGGTGCCTTGATCACAATCTATAAGCGCCTACACAGGGTACAAAATTGTGGTAATGGGCTCTTCCATATAGCAGACAAAAGGTCCAAGAAGATCCAGTGGGTGGAAGTTGAAGCTAGACAAATTCAGGCTGGAAATAAACCACAAGATTGTTCCAATGGTTAATTACCCTCACTGTTTACCAAGGGTTATGGTGGATTCTCCATTACAGAGAGTTTTTAAATCAAGATTGGATTTTCTTTTTTTTTTAAACAATCTATGCACTAGTTCAAACAGGAATTAGCTCAGGGAAGTCCTATGCCTGTGTCAGACCAGACAACGGTGGTCCCTTCTTGCCTTTTAATTTATGAATCTGTGGAAAATAGCCCTTAAGGAACTGGCCATAGTGATGCCCTCCATGCACCAGGGCTTTTGGGAGGGGGGGGCTATAGTGTGTATAGAAGACAAAGCCCCTGCTATCGGGCTGGTCCTGATAATAATCGGGACATCTGGTCTCCCTATATCAGTGTCATCTCCACTACTCTCGCACTGCCACCTTAAATAACACTTTAGGAACTAGTCATATCAATGCCATCAGCTACTCCAGTGGAGCCAATTTATCTAAACCTGGCACCTGTGAAAGAAACAGAATGTGTCAACAAGCGACAGGTCTGCGCTGCTTTCTGCAGTTATGCATCATGCTGATATTATTACACAGTACCCTGCTGTGACAGAATGATTGCAGATGTAGGTGCATAGCAATAGTACCTTCTAGCCTGGACTCAAATAACTGACCACACACAAAAAAACCCAGACATTTATTTTGAGTACACTTAGTACTTGTTTTTTTAAACTATATTGTGTAGAATGTATCCTATTGCCATTTAGTTGGGGATTGGTCCTGCTTTGAGCAGGGGGTTGGACTAGATGACCTCCTGAGGTCCCTTCCAACCCTGATATTCTATGATTCTATATTCTTATTTTCTATGTAAATGAGTTTGTCAGAGCACTGCACTCAGTTCTGGGCACTTGCAGTGACAGATTTGGAAAACTTAGAGGGAAATCAGAGATCAGCAACAAAAATGATTGAAGGAGCTGGAGGGACTGACTGGGGTGTGGAGAAGAGTCAGTCTATTGGCAGTGCTCCCTTTACCCGAGTGTCTAGGCACTAACATTTTTTAAGGGTACATCTATAGCTTGGCTGAGTGGGGCGTGGTAGGATAATGGTTTACCATTAGTCAAAGGATGCATACAGCAAGGACAAGGAGGGATTGTAGAAGGGCAAGCAACTCCAAGCAATGGGATGAAATTAAGAAAAATGTAGGCTACCGGGAACACTGCAAGAACAATTAGTCAGTAGAAAAGTCCCCCAAGGGAAGGAGTGTTATGTCCAGGACTTGAGACTTTAAAAACATGGATTGATAATGACCTATAAAAAGGTACAGTAGGTAGGGCTGGTTGAAAACTCATTGCCAACTGCCTTTCAGTGGAGATTTGTGTTTGATGAAATACAAGATTTTGTGAAAACTGCTTTTCATGGAAAATTTCAATTTTTCAATCAAAAGTGAACTTTTTGATCTTTTTGGCCAAAAACCAAAAAAAAAAAAAAAATTGATTCAGAAGTGCTGCCTTGGTGCCTCATGGGAGCTGTAGTTTGTGTGCCTGCTGCCCCTAATCTTTTTTATGGGTGAGATTCCCCAGCCAGACTACATCTCCCATGGTGCACCATGGCCAAGGACTCCATATTGGCTCAAGAGAAGAGACCATGGGAGATGTACTCCAGCTAGAGAGCTCAGCCTGTAGAGAATGGGATCCTGAGTAGAGTGAATGAATAATAATTATTTTTTAAAGAGGCTTAACGCTTTCCTGCCCCCACTGCAAAAAAAACCAAAACCAAAAACAAAAAACCAACAACCCTAAATGAAACAAAATGAAAATTGGGAAAAAGTTCATTTTGGGTCGGTGTTGTCTTTTGTTTGACCCAAAACAACTTTCTTTTTTTCTCCCCCAGCTGAAACTATTTGGCAAATTCAACCCAAATTCGAGCAAAACTACCTGTGACCTAAACTGAATTTTTTGGTGAAATATATTTGTCCAAAAAACTTCACCTAGCTGTTGTCGTGCCCCCACCCTCCAGCTACAGCTCCCACGAAGCACCATGGTGGTATCGCCAACTGAAACTTTGGCTTTTCCACTAAAAGTTTTCAGCTGACAACCTTTTGCCCCAAAGTCAAAGTTTCCCACAGAAAGCACCTGTTTTCTAACTAGTGACTTCAGGGGATAATTCTGCTCAGGCTGAGGTGACCCACGGGTTTTGATTCGGAGATGAAGGAGTTTTGGTCAGGTTTGTGCATCAGTGTTACTGCTCAGAATGCTCATTAGCCAGTTGATTGTCTGTTTCCCAACTCAGCATCAGCCCATCTGTTTTAGGGGTGGCAAGCACTGAGTGCCTCCTGGAGAGGCTGAGCATGCCCGTCTTTTCCGGGCAAGCTGAAGGCTCTTTGCATGGCCTGGAGTTCCTCAGCACTTCAAAGGACCGAGTTCTTAGTGCACATTTAATACCCAATATTTTCAAACAGACTAATTCCTTTGCTGCAAACAACTGCCACAGCAAAACCCTGACAAAAGGTTACAGTAGGGGCTGTCTAAGGGGGAGAGGTTCCCATTAAAGCGTGGCTTTTGAAGCTCCAAACGGGGCTGATCTGTTTGCCGTGTGAGGTCTCTCTTGAAGAAACAGGTTCAAGAACATTGGACACCCGCAGGGCACTGAACAGTCCCAGGGCTGGTGCCTAGACCAGAAGAAAAGCTCTGTGTTTAGCTAGGTAACTAGTCGGGGTAGGGAGGAAGGGGGCTCTGAGCTAGGATGGCAATGATCATTGCTACTGCTGCAGCTCTTTGAATGACACCTCTTTCCCACTTGAATAACTGAGGTACCTAATTAGTCTTTGTCGCTCATTCTCTTGCAGGACTTCCCACTCCAGGGCTAAAGCAGACGCAGCTGTGACAGCAGCGCAGAAAGCTCAGGAGGAAGCTCGGATTGCCAGGATCACTGCCAAAGAGTTTTCGCCTTCCTTCCAACACAGGGAAAACGGTCAGTCTGCACTGCAGAGCCGGCCAGTCTCCCTAGATGACTTCATTGTGTGTGTGCGTGCATGTGTTGAATGGTACAATGCATAGGGGCATTTTGGGGGTTCTCGGGGACAGGGCGGCCTGGAGCTACAGGGGGACAAAGAGGAAGTTTGCCCCCACCCCAATAATCTTCAAGGGCCCCCAAACTAGCCAAAATTTGTACAAAGTTAGTCAGCATTAAGTAGTAGAAGTGACAGTGACAAAATACTGACACAGTAGCCAAATTTTACTTTTTAAAACTCTTATAATGCAAGATTTTTCAGGGGTCTAACTAGTCCCACCGACTCCTGGAACGTTGGTTGTTTTTTAAATTGCAACATCCTGGGCCCCCAAAATACCCACTTGCCCCCACAGACTGGGATTCTAGAACCAGCCCTGCACCTGGGTCTATGTCAATTATTGATCTTACTCCCATGCTCCTGTTTCATCACTGAGCCAATCCTTACATGCTTTCTCCTTTCAACTCCTTGAACCTGACCTGCCTCTTTAGGCTTTCCAAAATATTGTTCCACCCAACCCTGCTCAGCTCAGATTGTGATCCAATGTGAGGACAGCCAAGAACAGATACAGCTTTTTCAAAGACATTAGACTTGTGCAGCACCTGGCTCTGGGGCTGTCTGCCCCTCCCAGCCCTTTGAGAGTCACCCAGTCAAAGCAGGCTCTAAAATGATAAAGCCGTAGAGAAACAGATCAGCTAGGAAGACCCACCCATGGCCTTAGACTTCACCCCCACCCCATCATTGATGCGTGAATTTCAATGCTCTTGTGAGGATGCAGCTGTTCTCCACCTGCATTCAGTGGGGTGCCACTTTTGTGTTACCAACTCACAATTTTATCATGAGTCTTGCAATAATTTTACTTAAAACTCCAGCTTTTGGAGTCATATGAAAATCTCAACTTTCATTTAAAAAAAAGTAAGTTTCTAGCTCAACATTTATTTTTTATTTTATTTTTTTTAAATCTTCTGATTTTTAAGCCAAGCTCATGTTTCTTGAACCTGACTCATGAGGGGTTGGGAACGTTGCTGTTTTGTTTAACTTCTTCCTCCTTTCCCTATAAATATATGGGTTGGAGGATGGTTGGGTTCACAGGTGAATGATCATGTGCATCATAAGTAGTGTAGTCTAGTGGATAGAGGCATTGGAGTGGGACTAGGAAACCTGGATTATATTCCTGGCTCTGTCCCTGACCAGCTGGGTGAGCTTAGGCAACTCACTGCTCTGTGCCTCAGTTTTCCCATCCATAAAATGGGAATAAGGATACTGACCTCGTTTGAAAAGTGCTTTGATATTTACTGATGAGAAGCATTATAAAAGGATTAGATAGTAGTATTGCATGTGTGTGTCCATTGGTGACTATGTGTAATTGTGTGTTTGAATCTGTGAAAGGGGGTTTGTGTATCAGACACAGCAAAGAGAGGGTTTGTGCATATAGGTCTGTATGTGCATGGAATGTGGTTTCTCATTTGGTGCCTGGTCTGATGCTAGGAGCAGAAGTTCTGTCAGAGGCAGTTCAGCAGCCAGCATGATGAGGGAGCATCAGCTCAGCTTACTGTAAAACCAGGCTTGAAAGCAGCTTGTTTTCCTCTGGGCACTACTTTGCTGCTTGATGTTTTGTCCAAAGTTTTACCCATCGTAGTATGAAATTTGTCAGGGCTGTGAAACTGCAGGGTATTTATGGACAACAGGGTTGATCTCATGTAAGGCTCATGAGAAAGCAAAGCCAAGCCCCAAATAAAAATAAAGCCAGGCAGGGCCATATTAGGCCACAAAAGTTCCAGAGGCAGATCATTCCCTTCAAGTGTGTGCATGCGCATCAGAGAGTAGGAGGGGGACAGGTATAAGTGGGGGTAGTTGGGAAGATCTAAGACTAAACTGCATTGATTAACATAGGTGAATGGTATTATTCAAACATTTTAGCAGACTACACTCTCATGAGAAGGCTGCTACCACCAGTTTTTCTCAAGCTCTTCAATCGGAGGTTACTCATGCATCCTAATTGCTTCAGTGTCTGATGTTGGTGACTCATTACGTTGGTGCTAGTCTCCCTGAGTCTGTGCCCCAGTGTGGCATTAAGGGACTGTGCCATCTTTAGGACAACATGTTCCATCCACTTGTTGGAGTCATCAAGGATCCATGGTGCTTTTCATAAGTGTTGGGACGGCTAGCTGTTGCGGCCTGGCCAAATTCAAATTTGAGTACATATATTTTCCTATGTTCTCACATTGTTTCAGCTGGATGTGAAATTCATCTTCACTTTCCATTGTTGCTGCGAGCGGTAGAACCGCTTACCTGTGCCACTCAAGAGGTGGCTGCATTTCACTGGTGCCTGACATGATTCTCATCTAGAGAGAGAAAGCTGAATTCATCCCTCGTGTGATTCCACAGAGTTACACTGGGAGTGTCTTTTGCCCACACTAGGTAAAATTTGTGACTTCTTTGGCATGCTTAAGCATGAGCTACACCATATAAATGTACGATATTATCCTCGTTATTATACTAGTAACAATCAACAGCCACAGTCCCTTTCTGCAGGGAAACCGCCCTGATGAGCGCTCCTTGAGATCACATGTTTGGCTACCTTAGATGGCCCCAGGAAGCCCTTCCCAGTGCTATCATGCATCAGTCTGTTAGAAGGACATTACATAAAACATTTCAAAGATTTGTGTATTGGAAAATCCTTGTATGGCAGGAAGATGGTCTAGGAATGACCCCAGGAGGACTTTTCCAGCTGAGGATAGAAATATATTCACAGGCATGATGCTTGCTGGTTGAGGGCAAGGTGACAATGGAAATGTTACATAACCCAAGGGTTATATAGACATAAACATTAAGGTGCCCAGATCTGAGATTTCTCCATTGCTTTGGGGCTAAGCATTAGCTTAATGCACTCGTTATGTGGAAAATTCTATAGAAATTAAGATGGAACTTTAGGCCTCTAGAGAAATTTCTATAGAACCCCAACTGAATTTAAAGGGGCACCATCAACTTAAAATCACAGTGCTGGCCTGAAAACGTTTCTGCCTGCTAACCTCTCAAATGACCATAACCAAAAGAAATTAGAGCAAGAAAATATTTTCTGTATTTTTAATGTGGTCACACTGGGCATTTGTACATAGTCCATTTCTTTAGTCACTCTGTTGTTTCACACAGCAACAAGGGAGATGGAGACATTTTTAAAAGCAGGCAAATGGGGTTGTAAACCCACAAAAGTTGTCAGGGGTCTCTGATAGCGATTTGTACTACTTTTCTTAATAGATATATTTCAGGTTGACTGTGTCGCTTTTATAGAGAGAATAACCATAGCCAACCCATATGGCAGGGTGCAACAGGGTTACCACCTCCAGAGTCCCCCCCATGGCCTGGGGTGGCCCTACAGAGCATCTCTGCCTCAGTTTCCCCACAATGACTTGGCCGTTCAGCTAAGGTATTAACAAAATTCCACCCCTTCCAGGGTATCCAGTTCCAAAAACAAAACACAAACTTTTTGCCCATCTCCAGCAAGGCCCAGCTCCTCTTCCCCAAGGGGGCTGTCTTCTCTTCTCTAATTCAAGCACTCCCCTGAGCACACTTTGGACTCAGTTTACATCCTGTCCTTTTCATCCTCCCCTCAACCCCTTGGGGTTGCTCTCTCTCACAAGCAACCCCTCCCAGGTTTTCCTGTCTAGAGTCCTCCACATGCCTCTCTCTGCCTGGCTTGTGTTTGCCTCTGACCCTCTCACCACCATCTGCTCCTCTTTTTAGCCAGCTGGCCACTGCTGGGCTTCCTTTTAAGTCCCACCCTGCACAGGTGTAGCAGGGCAGGACTAACAGACCTTAAAGGGGTAGGCCATCTGTTAGATAGGGATATAGTTCTCTACCAAATTCGAATAGAGGATTTAAAAACCCGATTGTCATTTTCAGAGTTCCCCGTAAGGGATCAGGAGAAATACACAGAGAGACCTACAGCCCCCCGTTCCCTCCTCCCCGTTAAACATTCCCACATTATGCTCTGTCTTCCTTCCATCACATGTCAAGGTTAAGTCTCAGGTTGTTTCCAGACCCCATTGGTTATAAAATAACTATACAGATTTAAAGCTTCACAAACCTATGCAGTATGATTAAAAAAGAGTCTCTGGCCTTACCCTGCCCCTGTATGAGACTCCCATATTCCAGTGAGATTCTTTGTTTGGCGTGGTGATACCAGCAGGGTGGATATTGGAGTGTCCCTTCGGAGTAGGTTAGTCTGGAACTGGAAAAGGAGGGGAAGAAAAGGACCTGTTCAGTGCCCCCGGAGCCACATCTCCTGTACTCTCATGCAGCATGGAGTATTCAGCTGGTGCTGTAGGTCTAAGGATGGCTGTCTGCTTTGCCTGGTTTCCACTGAGAGCAGCAAAGGGGAAAGGAGACCATAAGGGGGCCAGTTGTGGCTCCCTAAACCTGGGGCTGTTCTATGCCAGCCATGGCCCAGAGGGGCTCCTGTAATATATGCTGGCTGGCGTGAACCCCTGGGAGCCATCTGCTAGCTGGGAATTGCTGAAGCACGATGTGCTCCAGCCACAGCCTTCTCCTGCCCCCTTCCCAAGCCCAGCATGCCCCCTACACTAGGCACCACAGAAAGGCTGGCATGGGACCCAGATACTCTAGGGAGGAGAAGGGAGGGGATCCATGGTTGGAGAGATGCAGACAGGTTCCGAGTCCTTTGTGCCACCAGAATGGCACAGAGGGGATAGAGCTGTTTCGAGAACCTGACCCTAGAGGTATAAGAATTTTTTCCCCTCCAAGTGACTGGCTGCTCTGAGACGCTACTCATGGTCTCCTCACTGTCCCTGCTTTTCAAGTTCAAACGCTTTATTTTCGTGCTATTAAAAAACACCCCTCCTCCTGCCCCCCCCCCAATTGGTTCATCTGTCAGATTTACTGAGCAGTGGGTTTGGCTCAGACACGTTTGTAGGATGGGGCTGGCATTCAGCATCTGCTCCTC